TCCCGTGTGCCCCTGAAGCCCCTCCAGGAGGAGCCAGACTCAGACTACATCAACGCCAGCTTCATGCCTGTAAGGTTGCGGTCAGGAGCCAGGAGCCAGGTGTTTCCCTCCACCCAGGGTCTTGAGAAGCCCCAGGAGTTCATTGCAGCCCAGGGCCCCCTGCCCGAGACGGTAGGTGATTTCTGGCGCCTGGTGTGGGAGCAGCGGAGCAGCACCCTGGTCATGCTGACCAACTGTGTGGAATCCGGCCAGGTGAGAGCCCTGCAGGGGTCTCGGTGTTGACCCCTGAGCTCCAACCCACCCACGACCATGCCCGGGACACGGATCCCACTGTCCGCCCTGACCCAGACCTCGCTGATTCCCTCCCATACAACCCCAGCCTCCTCCAGTCGCCCCAGCCCATCCCTTGGTCCATATAATCCAATGACCTGGGGAAGGAGGGGTCCCCCTGGCTGGGATGAATGTAACCTGGCTGCCCCGGGGTCTTGCCTCCTCACTAGGCGCTGAATGCAAGCGCCACAGTGTAGACGGGCACCGGGACGGGTTGTCTGGGGCCTCCTGTTCTCTGACCTCCCAGTTTGCCCCCAGGTGAAGTGTGAGCATTACTGGCCTCTTGAGGCCAAGCCCTGCACACATGGGCACCTACAAGTGACGCTGGAGGGTGAGGAGGTGCTGGAGGACTGGACAGTCTGAGACCTGAAGCTCCAGCACGTGAGTCCACGGTACTCAGCTGGCCCCATCCCCCAGGTTCCGCGCCTCCAAACCCGTCCCGAAGCTGAGCCTTCTGTCACTCTCCCAGGGGACCACAGTGTGCCCAGGGATGCCCCCTGCCACTCAGAAACCAGCCCCCCCGGGGGTCCTGAGCTCTCCCTCCCCAATCCACCCTCCCTCTAGATGCAAGAGCAGAAAACACTACTGGTGCGTCCGTTCCATTACGTGACCTGGCCAGACCATGGTGTCCCCCACTCCCCAGACCCCATGCTGGCCTTCTGGAAGATGCAGCAGTGGCTGGACAAGACCGTGGGGGGAGGCCCCCCATTGTGCACTGCAGGTGAGGACCCCCTCACAGTGAGGGCACTGCCCCTGTGGGACTCAGGAACCTGGGTTAGTGGGTCCTTGGGCATCTCTGCAGGAGATGGAAGAGAGGAGGAGCAGATGGAGGATGTGGAGGCAGAAGGCAAAGGGGCAGCGAGGCAGAGGGACGTGAGGGTGGGGTGACGAGACGGGAAAGGTCAAGGAGGGGAATGCAGTGGTGGGAAGAAGGGGGGGAGGGGTGAAGGGCAGGAGGGACAAGCAGCCAGAGGTTTTGAGAAGCATTTGAAACACCTCCAACGCGTGCCCCGGACCTCACCCCGTCCACCATTCTCCTGATATTGATCCTGACACCTCTGTCGGTGAGGTTCTGGGCGGGGAATCAAGGAGCCTGCTCCAGAGGGGCGGACCGCCTCTGAAATGGGGCTCAGGCTGCAGGGACAGCCTCTGCCTCCCTGGTCTGCAGGGCAGCCTCAGGACCAAAGAGGTTTCCTCCCCACTGCAGAGCTGGGGAAACCCAGTCAGAAAGCTGAAGTCTTGGGTTCAAGGCTGCTAGCAAGTGGCCGAACTGATGCCCGTGGTGGCACTCTTAAGCTCTCTGCTGAAGTGTGCTCTAACACCTGCCCTGTCCCCAGATAGCTCCCCCTGGAGGTGTCCCCAGCAAGGGGTCATCCCTCCCCTGCAAGCACAGAAGGGACTCTTGCAGAGTGGTTAGGAGGATTAACTTGAACTGTAAAAAGGAGTGAAGTACTGATTCATTCGAGGATGTGGAAGACTTTGAAAACATGATGCTGAGTGAACGAAGCCAGACACGAAAGGTCCCACGTGGTGTGATCCCATTTGCAGGAGATGTCCAGGATAGGAAGATCCACGGAGCCAGAAAACAGCTCGATGGCCACCAGGGGCTGGGGACAGGGAGAGGGACTGCTTCATGGGCACAGGGTCTCCTTCTGGGGAGATAGAACTGTCTGGGAACTAGTTAGACCTGGTGGGCACACAGCATTGTGAATGTCCTAAATGCCACTGAATTGTTTTCTTTAAAATGGTTAGTTTGATGTTTAAACATTATTTTTTGGAACAATCAGCTTGGGAGTTCCTTTTCTCAAGTGTGAACTCCAGCTCTGTGGTTCACTCTCCAAGTACCCAGGACAGACAAGTGACCTCATGTCACTCAGCCTCCATTTCCCCGTCTCTAAAATGGGCGTGCTAGCAGCTCCAACTTCTCAAGGCCGGGGAAAGAGTAAAGGGCATGTCGGGCCCTTGAGGCAGGGCCTAGCAGACAGGAGGAACCCCAGGTATAGTCCCACGCAGTGGCTCTTCACTCCATTAAATAACACCCACTTAACAGTGTATCCCCCAGAATGCTATCTTGCTGAACAATACCCTGATCCTGGGTGCTCCAAACACAGCTCCCTCCTATCAGCCAAGACTCCCCCTTCCTGTGACCTGACCCTTTCTTGTTCCTGTCTAGTGCTGGCGTGGGCCACACGGGCACCCTCATTGCCTTGGACGTCCTGCTGAGGCAGCTGGAACAGGATCGATGTGTGGGGCCCTTCAGCTATGTGCGGAAGATGAGGGAAAGCCGGCCTCTGATGGTGCAGACTGAGGTGATGGGGCTCCTGAGAGCACAGGGTGGGGGGCTCTGGGAGAGGGGGGAAGCAGGCCAAGGCTCACCCCCTACCCCATGCCCCTCCCCAGGCCCAGTATGTGTTCCTGCACCAGTGCATCCTGAGATTTCTCTGGCAGTCAGGCCGAGCCCCAACAGACAACGGGGCTGCATATGAGAACCCACTGTATGAGAATGTCTGAGCCCCAGGAGGGCTGAGACCCCAGCCCAGCTAGACTCGAACTCTGGATCCCCACTTCAGCTCAGACTCCTGGAGCCCTGGGACAGCAGAGGGCTGGGGGTCCCAGACTCCGGGGTCTTGCAGGGGCCTGGCAGCCTAAACTGTTTCCCTGGAAGAGAGAGGGCAGGTGGGAGCAGGTATCCTGAACTCCTGGTTCCTCCAAGGAGGGAGGGATGGGAGCTAGGATTTCTCATTCTTTGAGGGAGGAGAAGGCTGGGGGCTCAGGCTGCAGGGTCTTAAAGAAGCTAGATCCTGAGGAAGGAAGAAATCGGAGTCTGGAATTCTAACTACCCCAGGAGTGAGGGCAGGCAGGATCCATGCCATGTTTTACTCCAGAAACCAAATCAGCTTCCTAGGATCTGAGATTTCCCTGCGCCCCACTGCTTGTACATATCTTTTTTTTTTCTATCCCATAATTTATTAAATCACTATTCTCCCCAGAGACGCTATAGTGGATTTCTGGGTTTGGGGTGGGAATGGGGCTGGATTCCCGATGTTCAGGTCCCGAGGTTAATGTCCTGGGAGAGAAGCTAGAAGGACCCACAATTTTGCAACTGAAAAAAGTGTTTGGATGGTTGAGTCTCTCAGAGAGGGTTGGAGGTCCATACTTGTGTCCAGGGTCTGGGCAGTGTGGACGCCGTTTGCTGAAGCTAGGAGCATAGGGGCTTGCTTCCTGGGCCTGGTGCGGGGGGAACCTAGAGGGTGGGGTGAGGTCTAGGGCGGCTTCACTGGAGAATTTCAGGCTGAGTCTTGTGTCTGGATATCTGACCGCTTGGGTCTCTGGAGAGAGGCTCCGGAGTCCTCGGACTGGGTATCCTGGCGAGGGTGGGGGTGGGGGTGGGGAGAGGGGGCCTGGTGGCCAGACAGCTGGACTAGAAAGCAGAAAATCTTCGGGGACCAGGATAAATATCCGTGGGCAACCCTAGTGGTTCCTGGCTGGGGGCGGGACGAGGGGCGGGACGGGGCTCTCCCTGTACCCGGGACCTAACACGCACGCGCGCGCGCACACACACACACACACACGCGCGCGCTCACACGCGCACACACGCACACACACGCACACGCACGCACTCACCAGCCGGCTCCGCTCTGCCGCGCCCCCGCCCCACCGAGCGCCGCGATCAGCACCCAGGACAGCGCCACCGGCCCGCGTGCGGGGGCGGGGTCCGGGCAGGGCCCGCGCCTGGGTGTCTCCTGCGAGGGTCCTGTCTAGCGGCCGAGCAGGTAGGAGCCTCTGGGAGGCCCTCCCTAAGCCCCCTCCTCATCCCCATCCCTAGAGAGCCGTGGTGTGTGTGTGGGGGGGGCGAGGAGGGGCACTGGGGAGGGACCGACCGAGGGAGTGGGAGGACTGGAGCCTGAAATGGGGAGATTGGGATTTAGAGAAAGGTGTGGAGACAAAAAGCAGAGGGGAGGGAGGAGCAGGCAGGGGGCGGGAGTGGGAGACCCTTGGAGTCACAGAACAGACCACAGGCGGAGGACAAGGGAGACACAGGGGCGCGGCGAGAGGCGGGTGGGGGAATGGATAGAAATAGGGAGTGGAGAGAGGTGTGGAGGCCGAGGCGGTCCCGAGGGCAGGTGTAAAGACAGAGCTCGGGATGCGTGGGAGAGACAGCAGGCCGGGAAGGATGTGCGCCCCCACAGACCCCCCCCCCTCCCCCCCCCCCCCCCCCCGGCAGTGGCAGCAGGCAGCCCTCGGCCTCAGCCCGAGCGGGAGAGGGCGGGGAGCCCGAGTCTCTGCCCGCAAGGCCAGATGTGCAGGGAGGAGCCTGCCGAGGGCGCGTGGGCCGACGGGCGAGGCCGCCCTCTCCCCACGCTCGCTCGGCGCGGGGTCAGGGGCTGGGGTCCTGACCCCGCGAGGTGCGAGCCTGCCGCACGGGGACTCTGCCTGTACGTCAGCCCCACCCGTTGTCTTGGCAACAGCCCGTTGCCAGGGCAACCATCGTAGCTCCCGCCCAGCCCGAACCAGCCACCCGTTGCTCGGGGCAACCCAGGGCCCCGGTTCTCACGCCCGCCTTCGCCTACTTCCGGTTCAGGCCCGCGAGGACAGGCACGGAAGGGGTAGAAGTCGGCGGGATTCCTGGGGGGCCTTGGAGAGCGGGGGCGTCCCTGTGGGATGGAACTAGGTCCTGTTACCCACCCCTGGCGCCCGCCCTCCGTCGCGGGGAGGCTGACACTACAACCCCCAGCAAGCCTCGCGGCTGCTGGCTGATTCCTATGCGGCCGGCCGCCCAGGGTGCCGATGGGAATTGGAGTTCTTGGTTGTTCGGCGGCTTCGCAGAACGCACCGGGTGGGCGTGGGGGGCTAGGGCTCTTGGGTGCCTCCGCAGAAAGGACCGTAAGACCCCGCCGACATGTTCTCGGAGCCCCCAACCCCAGGGCCTCCAGCGCCCGACACGCCTCCTGACTCGAGTCGCATCGACCACAGCCCTGGTGAGCGAGCCTCGGGGGCCAGAGCGAAGGGAAAGCCCGGCTGGGATTCTCAGGGGCGGGATTCGGGCGGGTGGACTTGGCTGGCGGGCGGGCAAATCCGGGCGGCATTGCAGTGGGAATCCTGGGCTTGACTCTTAAGTGAAATGGACAAGAAAATCGAGAACCAGGTCAAAGAGTGTGGAATGGAATGGGATCTTGGACTGTCCACCTCTGCCTTCTGTTAAAGATAGGGAAATTGAGGCATGGCTTCCAAACGCGTCAGGGGTTGAGCAGAAATTAGGATGGGGGTGGCAGGGGGGATGGAATTAACAGGCGAGACAATCTGGACGTTGTCAGCCTAGAATAGGGCACCGGATCGCTTTATAGGTGAGAGCAGTTGGAAGGAAAACACGGCAATAAAACGGAATGGAAAAGGCCGGAGGGAAAACAAGCCAGAATTCCAGCTTCCACGTGTAATTGGGACTGGATCAGCCGGCTTGCTTCCTAGGGCTTCAATGAGTGTTGTCTTATGCCCTCTGCAGTCCCCCCCTGGGCCCTGGCCGCAATCGTTCTGGTCTCAGGCCTCCTCGTCTTCGGCTGTTGTTTCTGTGTCTACCGGAAGCGTTGTCGGAGGCGGTTGGGCAAGAAGAGCCAGGCCCAAGCCCAGGTCCACCTTCAGGAAGTGAAGGAGCTAGGCCGGAGTTACATAGACAAGGTGTGGCCTGGCCCAGCCCCTCAGCCCTGCCCCGACCCGCACCTTTGGCCCAGCAGCCTCAGTCCCTGCTCTTTTCCCTCCTATGCCCACCTTATTGGCTCATCTCCCACCTGGACCCTAGGGATCTCGAGACGGGCCGGATCTAGTCCCTGTTCGCGAGAACCAGTCTGGTGGGGAAGTCAGACACTCACACAGACGTTCACAAGCCAAGGTGGTATGTGCCACGTTAGGGGCAGACCAAAGCCTATGGGGGTGCAGAGAAACCACCTGTAGCCTGGGCAGTCCAAGGATGCATCCCAGTAGAGGTATCTTTTGTGTTGAGACCCAAAGAACACACAGATTCACCCAGAACGGAGAGAAGGACATTGTCGTTTGAGGGAAGAACATGTACTGGGGCCTGGAATCCAGACTCTGAGGCATTTCACAATAGCTGGAGCACAGATGGCAAATATCCTGCACTCTAGAGTGGGTGTCTGAAGAGCTCAGTAGTACTCATGTCACGAGGGCAATTGAGAACCATAGAAGATTCGTGCGCAGCGGAGGAACAGGGTCACATGGGTGTTGGAATGAATCCTCTGGAACCCATGTGGAGGATGGATTTGCAGCAAGGAGGCCAGGGAGGAGGCTGGTGTAGCAGCCTCAAGAGAATGAAAGAAACGTGAGTTAGAAGAGGCCACTGGAATGGAAAATGAAAGCTTACAGGTGTCAGGGTGTGACTGCAGAGTGGAGTGGTGCTCACCTGGAAGCCAGGAAGTCCTAGGTTTCCAACCCAGAGGAAACATTCCCCAGCTCTGTGACCTGGGGGAATTCACTATCCTTCTCTGAGCCTCAAGTGTGTGGTCTGTAACCAGCATTTCTCCTCCTCCCTTGTCAACAAATAGCTGTTGTAATGATCGCCCATCAGGCAGGACCTTTAGGGTCCTGGTATCCAGCCCCCATCCCTATCCCTCAAGCCAGCGACATCCAAAGACCACCTGCATCAGACTCACCTCAGGTTCTCATGGAAACACAAATTCTGGGCCTTGTACCAGGCCTAACGAATCAGAATCTCTGAAGTGAAGGCATTTCACCGCATTTCTCAGGGGAATTCTGATTCACGTTGAATTTTGGAAAATTGGTGGCTCAGGTTAAGGAGAACTCTTGTTCTAGCTTAGAATGGCAAATACAGGGTAAAGATATTGTTCCTCCTCCATGTTTTTCTGTGGCGAGATCACTAGTCAACATGTCAATTTGGACAACAACCCCAGTACCTCCATTTGCACGTGAAATAAAAGCTTCTGCATCCTTCTTGTGGGCAACAAGGTGCTATCAGCACCTGTTTTTCTAGTCTAGGCGGGACAAACACACTGCATATGTGTCTGTTCTCCCCCATAGCTGACATAATTAATCAAGCTTTGACTAAGTACTGCATCTGTGTTACTTTGACCTGTGGCAGACACCACTAGTCAAACTCTGACTCTGTTTAGCCTGCAAGTGCTCAGGGGTAGCCTGAGGGGCCAGTGACTCTCCCTTGGCTTCTGGGCCTGGAGGATACCCCTATCAGGGGGAGGGTTCACCTGCCCTTGCTCCTGGCTCCCTAAGGTGCAGCCGGAGGTGGAGGAGTTGGAGCCAGCACCATCTGGGCCAGGGTCACAGGTGGCCGAGAAGCATGAGCTTGGACGACTGCAGTACTCACTCGATTATGATTTCCAGAGTGGCCAGGTGGGTGGGGGGGGGGGGCGGGGGGGGGGGGCGGGTCCGAGGGTTCTAGCCCCTTTCTAGAGGACGCTCCAAAAAGGAAGCTAAGACTAGAGTCCCCTCATCACCTTTCAGCTGCTGGTGGGCATCCTGCAAGCTGAGGGATTGGCAGCCTTGGACCTGGGGGGCTCCTCCGACCCCTACGTGCGGGTCTACCTGCTGCCAGACAAGCGGAGGCGGCATGAGACCAAGGTGCATCGGCAGACGCTGAACCCACACTTTGGGGAGAACTTTGCCTTCAAGGTGAGCTCCTGGCCTCCGTGCCCCAGGCTTGGCAACCTGCCCCAGTCCCTGGAACACTGGGGAGCGACTCCTTCAGCTTTTTCTGGAGGCAGCCCCACTCAGGTAGCAGCTACAGCTCTGGGGACTATCACACTGGACCCTAGATTGTCGCCGTCGGGCACTGCTGACCCCTGGGCTCTTGCTTTGTTCCATTTGGGTTCCAGAGACTTCTGCACAGCTGTTCCTTGAACCCTTGCTGCCCAACTCGCCGCCTTCTACCAGGATGTGCTGTGCCCCACTTCCTGTCTCTCTGACTTCCTACTCTCCACCTTGTGCTCTCTTCTCTGCGGTCCCCTCATCTAGGTACCCTACGTGGAGCTGGGGGGCAGGGTACTGGTCATGGCGGTATACGACTTCGATCGCTTCTCCCGCAACGATGCCATTGGGGAGGTGCGGGTCCCCATGAGCTCCGTGGACTTGGGGCGGCCAGTGCTGGCCTGGCGCGAGCTGCAGGCTGCTCCGCGGGAGGAGGTGAGCACGCGTGGCCACGCCCCCACGGCTGGGCCCGCCCCCTGCAAGCCTGGGCCAATCAGATCACAGGCCTCTTGGACCCTCAGGGCTCCAGCCGGTCCACCTGCTGCAGAGTGCTAGTCTCAGGGGCTCTCCTGGTAGGTCCACATCTCCACTCCTCCTTGGATTGTACCACTGTGGTCCTCACTGGACCATTCCATTCTAAGGCGGGGGGGCGGAGAAGGGTCCGAGAGGGGATGGATGTGAAACAGGGGCTCTGGCGAGGGATCCCTCTCTGTCTTTTAGCAGGAAAAACTAGGTGACATCTGCTTCTCCCTCCGCTATGTCCCTACGGCCGGGAAGCTCACTGTCATCGTCCTGGAGGCTAAGAACCTGAAGAAGATGGACGTAGGAGGGCTCTCAGGTGTGTGGGAAGCAAGGAAATGGTGGTGGGGGGCAAGGGGGAAGCTCTGCAGCAAAGGTTCTGGCAGTTTCTGGATCCCGAGAGTCTATTGGCGGAGAGGGAGGCCCAGCCTGCCATGGAGGATATAGATTTGCTTTGGGCAGAGAGAGAGAGACTTGAGGGGTGCACAAAGTGTCTCTGTGCTGTTCCAAAGAAGCTTCTCATGCATCCTCGTCAACATGATGCCCTGCACTCAGCAGTCGGGGCTGTAAGACTCCTTTCTCCTCCCAGATCCGTATGTCAAGGTCCACCTGCTGCAGGGTGGCAAAAAGGTGCGTAAGAAGAAAACGACCATCAAGAAGAACACTCTGAACCCCTACTACAATGAGGCCTTCAGTTTCGAGGTGCCCTGTGACCAGGTGCAGGTGAGCTCAGACCTACCCAAAGCCTCTGTCAGAGCAGCCCTTCCCCCAGAGCCCCAGGCCCTTAAAAGTCCCCGTTGCTAGGGGAAGGGAGACTCCTTAGCAACCTTTAGAAGCCAGGTCCTGGGGGCCTGAGGTTGTGTTTCCAAAGTCAGTTTCCTCTTATGAGGACCAGGGCGCCCTGCCCCCAAGCAAGACCAGGATGCCCCACCCCCAAGCAAGACCAGGGCTCCCCCCCTCCCTCAGGAATTATGGGTACTAAGGAAAAGATTTCCCCACAACCCTTCAGGAACTTGGCCTAGCCAGGACTCAGGCCTGGCCCCTCCACACATTTCAGAGTCCTAAAGGTTTGTCCCCCTTAGGAGGCTGTTCCCTAAGGAGGCTCTTAACAACCCCTTACCAACGGGGTCCTGATTGTTTATCTCCTTTGAAATCTGATCTCGCAGAGACAGAAAGACTCCAGAACATCCCTCTAACAGAGGCTCTCCCCTCTCTCCCCTTCCACCCCCTGTACCGTTGGAGTCCCCCTGAGAGGCCTTAGCGCAGGGTGCTAACAAGTCCCCCTAGAACTCTGGTCGCTAGGGAGAGGGTCTCCTTGGCAACGATACCCGAGCCACTCCCCGCCATGCCTCCTTCACGAGCTCTCGTCTCTTCCCCTGCCCTTCCTCTCTCCAGAAGGTCCAGGTGGAGCTGACCGTGCTGGACTATGACAAGCTGGGCAAGAACGAGGCCATCGGGAGGGTGGCCGTAGGGGCTGCGGCTGGGGGAGCTGGCCTGCGGCACTGGGCGGACATGCTGGCCAACCCCCGGCGGCCCATTGCCCAGTGGCACTCGCTGCGGCCGCCTGACCGAGTGAGGCCGCTGCCTGCACCCTGATCCCCACTTCAAGCCCCTTGCCAAGCCTGGACTCGGCCCCTGACCTCAGACTCCTGGCCAAAGCCACACCCAGGCCTACCTTAAGCCTTCTCGGACCACTAGCCACCCCCACCCAACCCCAAACTGACCCATTCCTGCCTTCCCACCCCCCGTTATACCAGTCATGGTGACTTGCCAACTCTCCCACCAAGCACACACCCAGAAGCCCCAGGGACCCCTGGGGGAGAGGAGCAATCTGGCCTCCCCCAACCCCAGCCTGCCACTCTCTGCTTTGACAATCAGTGACCCAGCCTTCTACCCCCTTCACTCCCAGTGCCCCTCTTCCTGCACAGGACCACCCGCTCCTGTCCCTAGTCAGATTCCTGCACCGCTCCTGGGACCAAATAAATACTCAGTAACTTTGGTGGCCTGGCCTGGTGCTTACTGATGGGGTGGGCAGTGCAGGGGCCAGGGGCCCAAGAGGGTGGGATCACCCAGGGGCAAGGATAGGGCTGCCCATCCTGGAAACACACTGAGGGAAACTAGCCCACCCACCCACCACCCATGTATTCATTTGTTTGTTCATGCACCCCTCCGAGCCTGGGTTTCTTCACCTGAAAAGATTGTGGTCATAACAATACCTCCTGTATGTTTGCTATGAAGAGTCTGTGAGAATCACGTACTTGCTCACAAATTTAATCTGCTCCCGCACCCATGACTTCCATAGATTTTCATACCCATATTTCCCTCCCTTCCCTTCTTTCTTCCACAATTGATCCGTTCTATCTTCCCTGAGGTCTTCAGTGGGCAGCTTCTGTTGGATGCTGGAACCCTAAGTTGACGCAGATCCAAACTTTACCCCCAAGTGACTTACTCTCATCACAGAAACAAAGTAGACCTGTAGAGTCTGGGAATGAGATTCCCAGAGATTGGGAGAAAGGACAGAGTTACGCAGGGTAAAACTAATGGTTCTACCTCTTCCTGCCTTCAACAAATGCTGCCTCCTAATCCGTGTCTAGGAAAGACAATCATTTCATTGGCTTCTCCCTCCTCTCATCCCAGACAGGATTTCAGGTGGTAGACAAAGGTCCATGAAATTTGGGAAGAGAGCTCTCTGACCAGGAGGTTAAGTGGAAAATGAGGCAACAGGTTCCCCCATGTACTAAAGAAAGGGCTGAGTATTAACCTGCACTGAGCTTCCTGGTAGCCAATGGGAAAAGGGAAATCTGATCAGTTACACAGGTTGTAATGTCTATGCGATTTAACAAATTTCTTCAAAGGGATGTGGTAATTTCTCATGTGTGAGTGCGTGAGGGGATGTCTTTATGAAAACGGCCCGTGGTATTACTATTATTACTATTACTGCTACTCCTGCTAACAGTAATCCTCACAACCACCCCATGAAATAGACATGATTGTTATTCCCAGTTGACAAATGAGGAAACTGTGCTTCAGAGAAGTAACATGACCTGCCTAGGATCATACAGCCAGGAAATCTGTCTTTAAATCCTGGGATCGAAAAAAAAAAAAAATCCTGGGATCGAATCTGTTCTGAGTTAGATGATGACATTGGGGTCCCTGGTTCCGTGTCAACAAGAGAGCCGACAAATGAGAAGAATAAAATCATTACAAATGGTGGTGTGTACTGGGCAGTAAGCTAGTGAGAGCTGAGATCAGGGCAGTCAAGGACAACTTACCTAAAGAGGTAATGTTTGAGCTGTGCTTTGAAGGACAAGATGGAACGAGGCTGGCAAAGATGAGGGGGAAATACACTGGAATATTATTCAGTCATAAAAAGGAATGTTTACACTGATTCATGCTATGGCATGATGAACCTTGAAAGCAAGATTATAAGTGAAAGAAGCCAGACACAAAAAGCCACATATTGTATGATTCAATCTGTGTGAAATAGCCAGAATAGGCAATCCATAGAGGGGGGAAAAAGGTAGATTTGTGGTTTGCAAGACTAGAGAGAGGGAGAAATGGGGAGAAACTGATTAATGAGTACAGGACTTCCTTATGGAATGATGAGAAAGTTCTGGAACTAGATAGTGGTGATGGTTGCCCAACATTGTCAATGTACTAAATGTCATTAAACTTCATGTTGTGTGTATTTTACCACAATAAAAATAAGCAAAGATGAAGGGGAAGAGACTTCCAGGCAGAAGGAACCCTAAGCTGCAAAGGCCCTGGGGCAGGAATAGGCTTGGTGTGTTCCCCAAAGAGTCAGGAGGCCAGGGCGCCTGGGTGGCTCAGTTGGTTAAGCGACTGCCTTCGGCTCAGGTCATGATCCTGGAGTCCCGGGATCGAGTCCCACATCGGGCTGCCTGCTCGGCAGGGAGTCTGCTTCTCCCTCTGACTCTCCCCCCTCTCATGGTCTCTCTCTATCACTCTCTCTCTCAATAAAAAAAAAAAAAAAAGAGTCAGGAGGCCAGTGAGTCCTGCAGGATGTCCCGAGACCTCAGCTTCACTCCCCAGGGCCCAGAATTGTCCTCAGAAGGGGGACGGACCCTCCCTTCAATCCATCACAGCACTGCTAGCTGCATGTTACCATTCCCAATCTGCAGAGCAGAAAACTGAGGTACAGAAAGGGTGACTGGTTGTCTAAGGTTGCATAGCTGGAGGAGGTGAGGCAGAGAGCCAAGGCTCCTTGGGTGTCACACCCTGTGCTGGGTGCTGGGGCTGATCTGGAGATGTGCCTCACTCAAGTCCCTGCCCTTATGGACCTCGAAGACAGGTTAAGTCACCTGGTGGAGGTCTCTCAGCCAGCAGGTGAAGGCAAGACAGAAAGCCAGGCATATCTGACATCAAAAGCCACATTCTTAAGCATCCTGCCATCTGGTCTGAATATAAAGTACAGAGAGTCACAGGGTGTGGACTGCTGTGGCCATTCTGCTGGGAAGGCAGGAGCAGAACTCGGAGGAAGATCCCCTGCTGGACTTGGACATTTCCAGGGGCAGTGGCGGAGGTGGGGGATGGGGAGGGAGCAGAAATTGGAGGAGGGAACTGCTCAACGAATTCAGATGCAGAGGCCAGAGAGGACTTGGTGTGTGCCATTACCAACATTTTTTTGTTTTGTTTTGTTTTGTTTTTTAAGATTTTATTTATTTATTTGAGAGAGAGCGTGAGATCACAAACGGTGGGGGGAGGCATAGAGGGAGAAGCAGACTCCCCGCTGAGCAGGTAACCCAGCGTGGGACTCAATCCCAGGACCCTGAGGTCATGACATCGGCGAAAGGCAGTCGCTTAACCGACTTAGCCACCCAGGCGCCCCCCACCTCCGTTACCAACTTTCTGAAGCCCTGTTGTGTAGTCTGCCTATTTCCATGGCGTAAATACCCCCACTGTGGCTGATTTCAAGCCACCAGTGTGAAGTCACTGCATATGGAGTCGAGAGGAGATGCTTATTAGTATACTATCATATAGTAAAATAGTATTTCCCAGGGTCAGGACAGAGGTTCCAAAATTTAAGGCAAAGCCAACGAAACAAAACTACCAGTCACCAAGATAAATAGTGTTTTAATGCAACATTTTTAAAAATTAAAATTAAGGCAAAAAAAAAAAAAGAGAGAGAGAGAGAGATCCTGGGGCACCTGGTGGCTCAGTCCTGTTAAGCGTCTGCCTTCGGATCAGGTCATGATCCCACAGTCCTGGGATCAAGCCCCGCGCCGAGCTCCCTGCTCCGCGGGAAGCCTGCTTCTCCCTCTACCACTCCCCCTGCTTCTGTTCCCTCTCTCGCTGTGTCTCTCTCTGTCAAATAAATAAATAAAATCTTTTAAAAAAGAGAGAGAGAGATCTATGATGGATGAAATATAAAAATTTTAAAGACAGAGTCTGACCCTGCACTTGGACCACTCTGCTTCATCCCAATCCTGGCCCTATTTCTCATAAAATTTTACGTAGAAAAATAGACAGTCAGTGGTCGTAGTTTGCCAATTTGATTTTTTTTAGTTATTACGTTAAAATATTATTTCCTTCATTTGGGTACGACAATTGATGTAAAAAACCTTAAGACCATCAACAACAGGAAAGTATAGTAAAATAAGAAGTGATGAGTTTTGAGTATATATTACCTTTATTTTAACGTAATGCATTTAACTTGAATTCAATTTTAGTAATTAGTGAAACAGTTTAATTTTTAGTAATGACTGTGCGTAACAACCAGGTCGCAGAATTACTGACACTTGAACAACAGGGGGCTAGTGCTAGCTAGCCCCAGCCCTTCGCTGCGTTTCCCGCCTGGGTGGTAGGACCACGGTGTGAGAGGTAAGGGGACCCAGAGGTCTAGGTGGCGTCACTTTAATTTGAATTAATCAAGATTCTGTTCCGTTCTAGGTCAACTTGAGTCGGCTCATACCTTCCCCATCCCAGAAATGTGGATCGCCCCAGGCCCCGCCCCTTCCCCTCCAGCGCCGTCGTCATGACAACCGCGTCCACACGCCCTCCACACCCGCGAGCGCTCCCATTGGCCAAAAGTTCGTAGCAGGCAGGTCCCGCTCGCTCCATTGGTCAGTTGATCGCGCCGGTGCCAACCCGCGTACTCCCATTGGCTGATTGGTCGAAAAGGAAGGGGGCTCTGGGCAGTTGCGTGTAGGGGGGTGCAGAACAGCGGCGCCGCACCGAGCAGGGAGGGAAGGAGGGGGCGTCCCGGAGTCTCTGGAAGGATAGAGGTGAGGGGGTGTCACATGGAGGAGAGGGGCGAGAAGGGAGGGGCGGTGAGAGGGGCATGGGTGAGCGACGCACAGACGATGGTTGGGGACCCCAGGATGTCTGTTCTGCAGGGCCATGACCACACCGGCAGGTTCGGGAGCAGGCTTCGGCTCCGTGTCCTGGTGGGGCCTGTCCCCGGCGCTGGACCTGCAGGCTGAGAGTGAGTCCCCACCCAGGACCACATCTGCCCAGGCGGCTGCCTTCCCAGCCTGGCAGGCGGCGCGCTAACGTTCCCCGAGGCTCCAACGGTGGAGCCGCCCCTCACTGGGCAGCCCACGTGACCTCTGCGGACTACAAGTCCCAGAATGCTTAGAGGCACAGATTCCCTTGAGAATCTAGGCCAGGAGTGCGAGT